TAGTTTAGTTCTTCAGCGTTACTCTTCATTTTTCTTTAGATGATTTTAGAATTCCCTCTTTGTTTTTAATTGTGGCAAATATGACCATGTTATACCTTAGTGTTTTTCTTTTGGAGTCTCTTCTATTAAAAGTTTACTCAGTGTCTTGGATGCATATTCTCTTTCATGAAATTTGGAAAGTTTTCATCTAGTAATTCTTCTATTTTTTTCCCAGTACCTTTTTTTTCCCTCCAGGTAACTCTTCCAAATTTTTTCAGTGTCTTTTTTTTTCTTCCTCTTTTCTATCATTCAGTTATACACGTTATTCCTCTTGATGGTGTCCCACTTTATTACTAGGCTTTCTTTATTTTCTTTCCTTTTTGATTTTTGCATTTTGCTCTAGGAAGTCAGTGTTGAGGGCTCTGTCTTCTATTTTGTTGATTCTATATTCTTTTTCTCTCTTCAGTTCTGCTCATCTGTCCTTCAACATGTTGACAGCTTCAGATATTCTCCCCCAAATTGGATTATTGGTTGTTGTTGTTGTGTTTTTTAAAAATTTTCAGTGTTTACTAATTACTTATTGGTTTAATCTGTTTTATCTTGTATTATCTTCTTTAATCACTCTTGACTTTAGATTGTCAATCCTTGCAATTTTCTGACATTTTCTTTTACACATTAAAAATGTTTGACCATTGTTCTTTTGAGTTTTATGGCAAGAAGTTTAAGTAGACTTTCTGCCTTCAAGAAATCCATTGATTCTGTGTTTAGGTTACTTTCTTGGGGCAATATTGTGCTTTGGTTTTATGTGTGATGTGAAGTAGTCTGCTCTTCTGTGTCATCACTGTGACAAAGTTTTGTGTGTCTGGGGTCTTAGCTGATCCTAGATCTGGCAACCTTGGCTAGAGAGCTCACTGTTCCAATGGAGGAGAATACAACCTGTCCTGCCTGAAGACCTCTCTGGTAACTAGACTTAGGGGAAATCTTGCCTTGGTTGGGGAACTCCACAGTCCAGGCAAGTGGAGGGTCACCTAGCCTGCCTGAAGTCTTCAGTTGGTGGTAAAACTTGCCTTGGCTGCAAAGTTTACTAGGAGGGGAACTCTTTCTTTCTTGAAATCCTTCCTCTCTGGTCAAGGAATTGGACAAATGAAGATATTTTGAAGTGATTGAAACAAGAAGTTCATAAATTCTGACTGTGACATTGGTAGGATATGTGAGACTTCCCTCTTCCTCCTTTGTTTGATGGCCTACATATTAATTTTTCCTATGTTGGCTTTTATTCTTTAAGTCACTTGCATAATTTAAACTGTTCGGTAGGTAGCATTTTTCAAAGTTAAGTTAGAAGAGACCTGTTAAAGAAACTTTGGAAATATTAGTAAGAAAATTTACTTTGATTTTTGATGCATAGTACTGGCAAAGAAACCACTCAAAGGAATGAAATGAGTTTAGAGAAAATGTTTAAAGCCTGTTGATACTTTTCATATGACCATATTAGTACTATGAATTGCTTTTCTTTCTAAAAGTTTTGATTCATTTCTCCCTCAAGTTACCTCAAACTCATGCAGTAACATTGATTGCATTCTTTAAAACATTAAATACACATTTTTTACTCTTTCCTGATTTACTCCTTCCCAATTAATAATTTCATTACCCCTTTAAGTTCTTAATATTTCAACTTATTGTTGTCACTTTGACCCCATATAAATGTTTTTGCCTCCCAAATCCAACAGTGCTTTTATTCTAGTGTGAAGAAGGCAAGCAATAAGTTATAGGCAAAACAAAATATGAATGTCACTATGGTTGTGTATTGTCAAGTTGACTCTGACCCATCACAACTCCAGGTGACATGGTAGAATTGCCCTGTTTAGTTTCCTAGGTTGTGATTTTCCTTCTCCCCACCCCCCTTTTTCTGGTATGAGGGGTTTTTTTTGTTTTCTTTTTTTCTTTTTATTTTGTGTACGTGTACCGTCAAATCAGATCTGACTGGTTACAGGAGGATATTGCGCCTCCTTCTCCGGCAGAGCGTCTGGTGGATTCGAACCATGTTCCTCTGGGATTGCAGTGCAGTTTCTTGCCACTAGGCCACCAGAGCTCCCCTTGGTATGAGTTTTTAATGTGTGTGGGTTTGGGTCTGTTTTTTTTTAAATATCTTGCAATTCTTAATTTTTTAAATTTTTCACTGGTTTACCCACAATGTTTGTATATATTAGTGTATGTATTTCTGTGCAGGTTTTCAACCACAACAGATAAATAAAAAACTTATTAAAACAACGAAACCAAAGCTAATGAAGGAGAATGATTTATGAAACAAAATGTAAATGAAGTACAATGTGAAACACAATGTATACTAACTCTGCATGCAAACATGCAAACCAATGCTTTTTTTTTTTTAAGAAATGTAGTTTGTGCTCTTTGGGGTCAGAGATTTTTGTGGCAGACCTATAAGAGAGTCACAGAAGAGAAATAGGAGACCCAATATGAGACAGAGCTGACCCAGGACTGCTACCTTATGGAACCAGAACCAGAAAAGTTACGGGGAGATACCATAATTCGAATAACTAATAAAGCTTAGTAGCACTGGCCTAAACCCATAAGATTGAAGGCTGAAGGGCCTGAGAGCACATTTCAGAAGCTAATCTGACTGAGGAATTGTTATCTTGTTGCCAACTTGAATTGTTACTTTATAATTTACCTAATAAACCACATAATAGTAACAACAACAACAACAAAAACCAACCAACCAAAAAAATGAAAAAAATCAACCCAAAATCCAAACACAGATATGCTACAGCAACAAAGAGGGAGGTTGCTAATCCTTACTCTGCAAATTGTGCAATTTTCAGAAGGTTCATCAATTGTTACTGAATACTTAGCTCCATTGGCTTCCAGAGGAAGGGATGTGAGTTTGGGTTCTTTTTTTTTTTTTATTAATTTAGGTTGTTTATTTTTCATTTCAATGAACATCTACAGAGATTTTGGGATTCCATTCATGCATTGTTGCACCCTTCTCCCCGCACAAACCCCTCCCCCTCGCCCCCATTTGGTCCTCTCCTTGAAAAGCAAAAGAAAAACTCCCTCATTGGGTACGCAATCCCCCCCGCACCTCCCCAAACCCCACCCCCTACCCCCAAATATAATCCACTCTGCAACCCTCATTGCATACTCCTACGATAAAAATAATGCCCTAAAATATAATACTTTTAGACTATTCTCTCCCCCATAGACTTCAATGCCGTAAACATATTTCATTCAGTTTTTCTCAGTCTTACCCCCACCCCAATGCCAGCCTCATTCTACAACAGTGGCACCATATAGCATTTGTCCCTTTGTGACTGAGTTTGGGTTCTTAAATGATGGCATTATATGAGGCAGATCTCTGTCTGTCTCTGAGGCAGGTATCCACTGCAAGCCTAGAGACCCTGTTCTATGACTTCTGTTTCACTGGTTTATATGTTAAATGTATTTTGAAAATAGTAAACTGGGCTAACTTCAAATATTAATTTATTAAGACATTCTATTATAGAATATTTGTCTAAACAAGAAAAATAATTAAACTCATTTTCATTTTATCTTCTAGGAACATTTGGTTTAAAGAAATCATGGTATTTTCCCTTTACCCTATCATATTGGAAGAATATACGTGGCTTGGTGGAGAAAAAGTACTATATAAATTCCAATCTATTATTCTTCAATGAGAACTTTGTCAGTAAAGGTTTGTAAGGAGCCAAACTGTTGGCTGCATGTTAATTCTGCTCAATGTTATACTTTGATTTTACAGTTCTCTTCTAGTTGAATAGTTGTAAATTTGGAAGTACATTCCCTTTAGGCTGCTTCCAGGCTTTCTTTGGGCTTAGAGACAAAGTGATGAGAACAAGTGCCGGAAGTCAGTGTCTTTTTTTAAAAAAAAAATTTCTACTAGTTTACAAAATTTGAATACATTGTTTTTAAGAACAAATTATTTCAATTTCCCTTACCCTATCCCCATCAAATTGTACAACCCCATGATTAATTCTCCCTCCCCCTGCACATCCTCATCCCTCTGCTTCCACTCTCTCCTACCCCTTTTGGATCCTTATAGTCATTCTACAATAATGGTTTTATACAATATTTATCCTTTTGAGACTGAATTAGTTCACTTAGTATAATGTTCTCCACTCCGTCTCAAGTCAGGTAATAATTTATAAAATCATTGCTCCTCGGTGCTGCATAGTACTCCATTGTGTGAATGTACCATAATTTCTCAATCCGTTAATTTGTGGTTGGATGTTTGAGCTGTTTCCATGTTCTTGCAATTATGAATAATGATGTTATGAACATTGGTGTACAAGTCTCCTTTTGTGCCTCAGTTCTAATATTCTGAGGGTAAATTCCAAGTAGTTAAATAGCTGGGTCATGTGGAATTTTGATGTTCAGCTTTTTGAGGAAGCACCAGATAGACTTATTTTACAAACCCACCAGCAATGTTCCCTTCTTGCTACAACCTCTCCAAAATTTATTACTTGCTGCTCTGATAAACTTTGCTACTGTTACTCAAGTGAGATGTTACCTCATTGTGGTTTTGATTTGCATCTCTCTTTTTGCTAGTGATTTGGAGCGTTTCCTCATGTGTCTGTTGGTTGTGCAAATATCTTCCTCTTTAAGAATTATTTACATGTCTTTTGCCCATTTTGTAATTGGGTTATCAGTCTTTTTCTTGTGGAGGCCCAGGAGTATTCTGTAAACTTCTGTTGTAAGACTCTTGTCTGAGATGGTATTACCAAATGATTGTTCCAAGTATGTAGATTTTCTTTTCACCCTGTTGGTAAAAGGTTTTGATGCACATGTGGATTTGAAATTCAGAAGGTCTCATGCATCAATTTTAACTCTTTAGATAGTGTATTTCTGGTTCTATTTGGCAGTCTCTTTATACCTTGGATTAGTGCTTCTAAGCTTGATCCCAGTTTGTCTCTTATGATTGTTATGGTTTGGGGCTTTACTCCCAGGTCTCTGATTGATTTTTGTGTGTGGTGTGAAATGTGGCTTCTGTTTCAGCTTTCTGCAGGTGGAAATCCAGTTTTGCCAGCATCATTTGTTAAAAACATTGTCATTTCCCTATTTAATAGCTTTGATTTCCGGATTCTTAGTTCAGTTCCATTGGTCTATGTGCCTGCCTTTGCACCAGTACCGTGCTGTTTTTGTTACTACTTCTGTGTAGCAGGTTTTGAGGTCAGGGAGTGCTATGCCTCCAACCTAATTTTTGTTTCTCAGAAGTGTTTTGCTTATTCAGGGTCTCTTAACCTCTCCAAATAAATTTGATAATAACAAAGAGAACTCTGAGAAGGAAATCAAGAAAGCAATGCCATTTACAATAGCCAATCACAAATTGAGGTACTTGTGAGTAAACCTAACTAGAGATACAAAAGACCTATACAAAGAAAACTACTGAGAATTTCTGCAAGATACAATAAAAGGTCCAAAGAAATGGGGAAATATGACCTTTTCATGGATAGGGAGACTCAATACTGTGAAAATGACAATCCAACAAAAATCAATCTACATGTTCAATGCAATCTTAATCCAGATTCCAAATATATTTTTTCAAGGTGATTGAATGAGAAATTTTCAAATTTATTTGGAGAGTCAGTGCCTTTTTATAACATTTTCTCTGCATAGATAAAGGATTCCTAAACCCTGACTGTGGATGTTCCCATTACTGACTGTACTCTCGTTCATCTTTGAATGATGTACCTTTCTGCATAGAATATAATTGATGAAACTGATGCTTATTTTTAAAATTAATGTGAAAATAAAACAAAAAATTTACAGTTATTATGTAAACATAATTTACAATTTTCTAGTTATTTTCACAAAGGCTAACTCTTTTTATTACACTGCCATTTTCAAATGGAGAAACTATTTCTTAGAAATAAGGAAGTGGAACTGACATTGGTCCATCCCAGTTCCCACAAAATGACTGCTTCAGAGAAAATATGTACATGTATTTATTTATGGTTTTGATGCTATTATGTAACTAACACATTTTCAGAGACAGTAAATCACACAAGGAAACATTGTCTATTCTTTCATAGAGTAGCTGGTGGATTCAAACTGCATACCTTTTGGTTTGCGGTACAACTCTTCACCACTAAGTCACTAGAGCTCATTATGTTTATCTATATTGATTATAAAATTATATATATTTATATAATATAAGTATAGAGGTATGACAGAAATAATCTCCCATTATAATCATTCTAACTATTGTAATTACATATCAATATTATAATTTTTTTCCTGATTGGATAAGTAAAGTATGAAGCAGCAAATTTGGAGCATATGAATAACCATTAAGTTGACTCAATGTCACTCAACAACTGTTACCTCCTAGAAGATTATCTTTTGGGAATATTTTGTTATGTGACTCAATTGTCTATCAGATTTATCTGTATATATATATATATCCACATATGCACATGAGTTTTTACATTATCTTAATAACAAAATGTATCAGAAGGATTA